AATCCACAATGAAAAAAGAATCTGGAAGGCATTGAAAATGGACAAATCCAAAGGTAAACAACTCATTTTTATTCTGTAGATCACAATCATCAACCCATGCAGAACGTGATCATTATCTCAATTCGAGCTTTTTCCCCCCTTTAAAATATCTCAACTTGACTTAATTTAAAAAATAAAATAAAAAATCATTCATTATCTCTGGCTTTGGAGAGCTACCGTGTGGTCCCCGTTTGGCTTTTTCTTCAGGGGCATGGGCAACAAAACAATCAAATAAAAAGGTTTTTTGTCGGGATCCCAAGTCTTTGGCTGATTAGAGCTAATTTCAACTTGTTATTAGAGATAAAAACACGTGGTGTGTTGCCTAAGAAACGACAGGCAAGTTTGGTAGCTTGTTCTTTATTTACAAAATTTTCAAAATAAATGTGACTCTTCGAGGTCATATTAAAAAGAATATTAATATTATTGACAAGTCAATTCATAAGGATAAGATTGAGCTACATTAAACCCCCACCAATAGTGTACGCTACCCTTTGTAATAATTAATATTAATATTAATATTAATATTAAAAAAAGACTGAGGGAGTTAATTTTGTCCGTACGTAGACTTGACGTTTAGTTGGAGGATTCAAACTATATGATTTAAATTATTTTTTATTTACGTGAATTTTTTATGAGAAAAAATATTGTATCGAATAACGAATCATGATTCGAATCAGAAAACGAATCCCTCTACCAAACATCCTCGAATCATCCCTAGTTCGATAAAGAAATGAATGCTAATGAAAGCTTCACACCTGCCGACCAGATTTAGAAAATATAAAAGCTCGTTTAATTTAGTGGAGTTTGATTTATGTATTCAAAATTATAATTTAAAAATATTTTTATTTTATGTGTATTTTTTATAAAAAAAATATTTTAAAAAATTATAAATTATGATTTAGAATCAGAGATGAATATAAAAAATAAACATTCTCTTATTAATTCTAATTAAAATGTAATTTTATTTTTAAAAAATTATACTATAAAAAAATTAAATATAACTGTTTATAATTTTTTTTATAATAATAAAATTTAAATTAATAAAATAAACGAATTTAAAATTTACTAAATTAAACAAATATTTATAATGAAAAAGAAATATCGATTGCATTAAAGGTCACCAACTCATCTTTGCTGTCCAGATCGCATCAATATGTACTACAATATCCATATATATTAATGAGTGGGAGAATGGACTTAACTTGACACGAAAAAAGGCTTTTTTTGCATGGACCTCCCTAAACTTTTTGTGTTTGGCATATATTGATCCCTAAACTAAAAATTGTGACAATTGACTCCTCGAATTTGAAATTCGTTGCATATCCGGTCTAATTGAAAACGGTCGTTAAACTTTTGACGGTTTTTACATTACAAGAAGGGCGTTCTAGTCCTTTTGATCAAGTTGAGAATTAAACAAATAAAACAACAAAAACAAAAAAGAAAAAATTGCTCAAGAAAAATAAAATGACAAATAATTAAAATGGAAAATCAGAAAGAACCCTAGCCTCTTCCCCTTTCCTTCCATCACACCTTGCGATTTCCAGCAACGGCAGCGCCGCCACGCTCTCCAGAATCAGCACGAGCTCGTCGTCTCCTGACCCATGATTCCGACTTCGTCTCCTGAAACCATGCCTCTGACTTCGTATCTCGATTGAGGCCGAGCTTGATGTCGGAAATCCAGAGGAATGCGCTTACGAGAAAGGCGAATCAAGTGGGAGAAAGAGGTCCCTCGGTTCGTTGTTGGGAGAATCGCAGGAAGATCGAGTCTGCTCCGGTCATGATGGAGTCTGATTCATACGCGATGGGCTGTTGTCGCAAGCCGGGTGTGGGAGGTTGTGTCGCCGTTGGAGTTGTTGTCCATGGCTGAGATGTGCAAGCGACGGAGGGAGAAGGCAATGAAGCTGTGGAAGGCGGTGAAGTTTGTGGAAATAAAATAATGCTCTGTCTGAGAAAAGTGGATAGGAAAACAAAGCTGTTGAAATGATTTTGGAGAAATTTCTGGTGTTTGGTTGCTCAGAAAATATTGCTATTCAAGCGCAGTTATACCAGGAAGATCTTGGGTATCCATTTTGCCGATTCGTAGGATTGGATGATAGATATTGATAATAATGGTTACGATGGGTTTAATTTTAACCAATTTTCTTTTAATTCTCAACAAAAAAAAAAAATAGTCATCATCAAGATCAGTAACAAATATTAATTCAAGAGTTGCAAAATCTGCATCAAAAAGAAGTTTATGGGTTTTTCAAAAAAAATTTTAATTGATTCAAATTTGAATTAAATTTTTTCTTCTAAAGGTGTTTTTTTAAGTCAATTTAACTTCTATGTGTAAATTTTTTTTTTTTGCAACAGTTTTTTTAATATCAAAATAGAAATTTTGAACTTAATTTATATTTATTTTGAGACTAATAATTAAATTTGAGATAGAAATAAAAGCAATTGACTACTGGTGCCGTTTTTTGCTATGCATGTGATAGGCACATGCAATAAACTGTTAAAAGTTTAACAGCCGTTTTCAATTGGACTAGATATGCAAAGAATTTAAAGTTTGACGGGTCTATTGTCACAATGTTTAATTGAGAGAACGTTGAGTCCATGCAAAAAAAAAAAAAAGCCTTAAAAAAAATATTTCCCATGAAATGAAATCCCGATGGCAACCTTAGTGCAGATTAAAAATGATGTTTATCCTATGGGTTTTCTTGTCGGACATGTAAGGAAAAAATTTGCTAAAAAGGTAAAAATAAAGTTCATTGTTGAAAAGAATAGTGATTAGATAGAGAAAAGAGAACGAAAAAAAAAAAAAAAAACCATGTAAAAGAAAGAAAATTGAAAGGAAGAAAAGAAGTTTATTTATTTTTTGTGTTGTTTGTAGAGGAAAGAAAATAAATATAGACTAAATGACTATTTTATTTATTATTTAAATATTAATTTAGCTTTTAAATAAGGACAAAAAAGTTATTATAATCTCACTTAAAAAAAATTATTATAGGATTAATGGATGAATTTAAGTTTTTAAAATAATATTAAAGAGATAAAAGTTGGTGGAACCTATTATAATTTTTTCACCATATTTTTCTTTCATTCTTAATTATCAAATAATCTACTCTATCATTTTTTATTAAATAATTTTTTAACTTACTTTTTTCTTTTTTCATCGTACCAAACACAACATTATGATCCGTTTTGTGTTAAAAGAATTTGTTAAAATAATGTGTCATAATGGTACAAAAACAAAATATAAAAAAAGGACGTAAAGGGACACCAATGCGGCTGAACATCACAAATTAACAAAAGTATGAATTCTACAAGACAAAGTTTATGTATGAAGCTCATTTTCTATTAATCGTATTACTCTTAAATATTTTATTAAATAAAAGCCCAAACACTATTTGTATTAAAAATAAAAGTTAAATGACCAATTGGATAAAAAAAATTCCTCACCACTTTTTTGTTTGTCGTTTCCAATTATTATAGGTTACTAATATTGATGAGTGCAAAAGTCATCAATCCATTAAAACAAAAGGGTGAAACAAGATAAATTATGCAATCAAAGGTTATAAATTGTATTACAGATAGCGCCCAAAAGGGCCAAGTGGATAAGTTGTACAGGATAAAATTAGTGGTTCGTTTATTTATTAGGAAGGTCTTTTTACGACAGAGAAATGGTCTTTTACTAGTAGATCTCTTTTTTTAATTATTGAATACGGTTAAAATTATATTATAATAAAAAAAATGTAGAATAAATATTTTTTATTGGTAGTTTATTTATTCAAACCTTACCGTAAAAGTCTCAGTTTTAAGAGGCTCTATTTGCATCTAAATTGACGATGAAGAAGAACAAAGAGTATGGGAGTGAGAAGAGAGAGAATGAAGTTATAGAAAAGAAGAAATAAAAGAGAGAGAGAGAGAGAGAGAGAGAGATTTTTTTTGAAGTTAATAAAAGACACTAACGGAGATTATCGGGTTAATTTACTTACTGCTATTAAGTAGATAACTTGATGTGTTAATTACTAATTTGTCGAAAAGAGATAATTAACAGAGAATTCAGTTTGTTTGTATCGCATTTTTTTAAACATAATTTTCCTTTCCAACCAAAAAAATGAAAGTACTTACGTTAATACTAATAGTTGCATGACATCTATAAAGTTTACTTAAAAAATTATTTATCAGTAATGGAAAACGAATCTCGAACGGCAAAATTGAATGGTTCGTTTGGTACAAAAATTTAAATCAGGGTGATTCTAATCATGATTCTAAAATTAGAATTACGATTCATGATTTTGGGTTTAAATTATTATTCTGAAACCATAATTTAGAATCAGATATTTGAATCACCTTAAATCAAGAAGAGAGTGGTTTTAAAATCATAATTTGAGTTAGTTTAAAACATCACATAAGATTTAGAATCATCCACACCAAACAATGATTCTGAATCATGATTCAGAATCACTGTAAACAAACACTAATTTTGAACTATGATTTAGAATCATAATTCTATATCCATCTATCAAACGCACTAGAAATGTGGCCTCAGTTGCAATTAATATTTGATTGATGGGCAAAAAGGGTATAATGTTATGCATTAAGAAATAGATTCAGAATTATTTTTAATTTATATGTATTTAAAAAAACACTGTAATAAATCACAAATTATAATTTTATTCACGATACAAATGTTACTCCAAAACTTCCTTTCATATTTTGTAATTGCTCCGTGAAGGAGGCGAGGAACAGGGAAGGTCAGTACAAACTAGCATGTGATCGCATTTATATAATATGATAATCTTTCGCCCGTTGATGTCATGATCACTGGGCAACTAAAATAATATCTTTTTGTTTTTGTTTTTTATCAAGTTTTTGTTGAAGAGAAATAATTTCTTAATATTTTATTATTGCAGATAAGGACAAGCGAGTTTGGTATATGCGAAAAAAATAATAATAACTCAAATTAATATTCCTTCACTCCCTCATATACATATATCAGAGGTTGAAAGTTCTGAGATGCACGCCAAGGAAATTAAGCTTAGCAAATTCCACTAGTAGTGTGATCAGTTTTCTTAGCACAATGACTTTCAACGATGATGAGGAAGTTGTTAAGCCCCAAGAAATCACAACAGGTTTGCGTTTTCTAATTCGTTTCTTCAATATCCATCGACAGGTTTGATTTCATTCATTTTAAGCGCTCGAAACTTGGATGCTAATTTTGTGATCTGTATCAGGAGGGAGAAAGCGTCGACCTATTGTTTCGGGAAAAACGCAGGTGACGGTGATCAACAAGAAGGAGGCGCCACTTGAAGAAACCAACTTGGATGTGTTGCTGAAGCTGACGGGATCAGGAGACAACAAAGACAGACTAGGAGTGGATCTTGTGACCGTCATCGATGTCAGCGGAAGTATGCAAGAGGAGGACAAGATAGAAAAGTTGAAAGTCGCAATGCAATTCCTGATCAAGAAACTCAGCTCCATTGATCGTTTGACGGTCGTCAAATTCTCCGACAGCGCGCAGAGGTTGTTCCCATTGCGCCAGGTGACTGAAGAGGCTCAAGCCAAGATTATAGATGAGGTCAAAGCCTTGAAAGCCGGCGGTAACACAAACATCGCCGATGGCCTTAGAACAGCATTACAAGTGCTCGATGACCGCCGTTTTAAGGAAGGGCGTGTGGGCGCAGTCATGCTTATGTCCGACGGTGCCGAAAACAGGGGTAAGGCGGCCGAAGTTGATGTCAGCAAGGTGCCGGTTCACACATTCGGTTTTGGCGCAAATCACGATCCAAGGGTATCTAGTTACCTTGAAATATTAATTCAGTCCAATTGATTGCAAAAATTTATTGTGTGACTTTACCTATAATCAATTCATTAAATCGATGTTTTTATATATAGGTGTTACAAGAAGTCGCAAAGAAGAGCAATGGAGGAACGTTCGCGGACGTTCAAAACGACAAAAACTTGAGCCTTGCATTTTCGCAGTGTTTGGCTGGGCTTCTCACCGTGGTTGTTCAGGACTTGAGGCTGACCGTCAAGCAATTCGACGGAGATTCGACAATTTTAAATGTGTTTGCCGGAAACTATCCGCAAACCAAGAACAGCGACAACTCCATAACTATTTTCTTCGGCAATCTCTACAACAAAGAGGTACGCAACATCATAGTGGAACTTAGTCTCCCTGGAGTTGAAGACGAGATCGGCGTGGATGTTCTGCGAGTGAGTTACACTTACGAGACCGGCGTCGTCGGAGATCCGCTGTTCGAAGCGAATCCGATAAAAGCAACGGTGACCCGCACTGGGTCAGCGTCGGCGAAAGAGCTGGACGAGATCATTGCTGAGAGGAACCGTCTCACGACCGCAAAGGTAATGAAATCGGCAAGAGAGAAGGCCGATGAACAGAAGCTGGATGAGGCTAAGGTCATGTTGACCGATGCCCAAAACTCACTTGAGGATGTCGAGACTGATAAGCCCCATCCCGTCCTCGAGAGTCTCAAAACAGAGCTACAAACATTGTTGGACTACATGGAATCACCGGAAACCTACAAAAAGAAAGGGCGTCCATTTGCCCTGTCTTCTGAGACTTCTCATGAACGACAGCGTTACGCTGCGAGAGGTGATGATGTTGGGGAGAACAGAATGTTTGCTACTCCGCGTATGGACGCACTGTATGAGCAAGCCAAGGAATTTGACAAGGATCCGGACAACTTCAAGTTGCCAACGGAAGAGGAGGATTTGAAGGAAGAAATCATCGCCGATCCGCTCGGTCCGATCATCGGACCACTTCGCTACCAGATTCAGATAGCCATTGACGCTCTCAAATCCATTGACACCATACTCAGTACGGCTGGCAGCGCCCTTTGAATAAATGCATTATGAATTGCGTGCTTTAATTTCTTTAAATATGTATTTCAGTATTTGTGCTTTTGCTTTTGCCCTACTACGTACTTGAATAAATTAATTACGCGTTTGGTCTGTTGGGCGTTGGCTTTACATGTATGCAAGAGGTGAGTTGTATGGTTTGAATTTGGGAAAGACTACAATAATGTTTCCTTTTCAGGTTCTGTGATCTTATGGTTTTTTTTTTTATCTATTTATTTATATAAGTTTCTTTTGTTAGAAAATTACTTTAATAGTGAAAACCATCACTAAGACCCGCATCATTCATGAATTTATGATATAAAGTAGAAGCATACATGAATCACTCATAATGGAAACAAATCACAAGTTTTGTGCTTAGTTTTTTAAATTTAAACGTAGTCCTTGGATTCTCTTTTTTCCCTCTAATAATAGGATGTTAGAATAGAATGAAAAATACCTGTGATTCGGGGACAATAACCGTATATAAATTAACTGCTTATTAATTTTTATTATTTTTAATTTAGTCCATCATAAAAGTAGAAATAATGATTTAATCTTTACACATAAAAGCCTGCACTTAATTAGATACATTAAAATCTAAAATACTTAAAATTTTATTAGCTCACTTTAAATAGGTTTAATCTAATATGATAGTCATTAATACACAATAATTAACACATAAGTCTACATGGTCAATTAAAATCCCCTAAAAAAATAATTTGATAGAGAATATTACAAATTTAATGAGATAAGAAGCTAGCTAAAGGTGATTCCAAAGGCTCTTGATAAGTTCGGTTTTCTATATATACATTGGCCACAAACGTTTTTGTTATTAATTGTCCTTTTTTTTCCTGGGAAAGGCCACTGTATTCATATGGGTTTTTGGGGTTATTTGTTTTTTTGCATTTGTTTTGTTTTTGTTTTAGTTTGTCTTTTTGCCTAGGTTGTATTCATATGGGTTTTTGGGGTTATTTGTTTTTTTGCATTTGTTTTTTTTTTTTTGTTTTAGTTTTTGTCTTTTTGCCTAGGTTTGTAGATATTTGGATAATTGCAGCACGTTGGTTCACAGCATTCATCTCGATTTTAGCTCCTTTCCATGGACGTCCATGCTCCTCTTGATAAGAGAGAAGATAATGACGTCGACGATGGAAATGAAAAAGGATTAATTTAACAACAACAATAATAATAATAAGGAACGGGCTTGTTGCTTTAACCCTTTTGCGGTTGGGTGGCTCTATAGAACATAAATAAAACAACTTAAGAGATTGAAATTTGAAAATTATCACCAATAAAAAATTAATCTTAATCCATTGGTTAAACACATTTTTCTCAATCACAGTGCATTTATCTATATCATTCCAACCAAAGTCACTACCACTGAGGCTCAAACATTTCAAAAAATATGGTATTGTGTTGTCTCTTCCGCATCTTAATACCAGAATCAATGTGTGGTTGTGCTCTAAACCCACATTACGGAATATTTTCATTCATCATTTTCTCTAATTATTGTAAATAATTGGGCATAAATATACCATTATCTGTTTTCCATTTTCCATTATCAGCTAAATCCAACAAGCACTAGCTTTCAATCTTTTAATGCAGTCCATTGTTATTTTTCTTTCCACTAGCAGCTCTAGAAAGAGTTCTCTTTCCAGTGCTATCTGTGCGGGGAGGACGGAGTTCTCTATTCAGATTGTGTCTGTGAGTGTGTTTTTTTTTTTTTTTTTTTGTGATTTGGTTTTTTGGTTGGCCACTGGCCGCTAACAGCGGTTGCCGACCTATTCAGTACCAGTTAGTAATTGGTATCGCGACATATACCATTTGGTATCTCAATCAGCTACCAGTATTAGAGTATGATACATACTAGCTGGTATTTTAAGAGTATATTTGACATTTCACATATAATTTGATACTGTGACCGTGACATTCATTGTAAATTTTTTTTTTTTTTTTTTTTTTTTTCCGCGGCATAAGTAAATCCAAACCTGAAATTTGTGGTATTTCTGTAAAGTCTCCGTATGGAATTTTGTAATGTTGATTATAATATAGAGATATTTCTGTATTGCATACATTGAATTGGACCAAGCCTATTTTATTAATTGTGTGCTATAAATAGACCTCTAGTAGTTTATTTTCATTGGATCTTTTTTGGACTCCATCTATGCATTTAGAGCTCTCACCTTTAAAATTTAGAAGCCATATGCAATAAAGGATGAGAGGAGAATTACGATAGTCCAAGAAGATAATCCTGTGCCCACCGCACAGTTAATTTTTAATTTATAAATTTAAAATTATAAGTAAGAATTATTTTTAATTTATATATATTTTTTATGAGAAAATATATTATAATTAATTACGAATCATAATTTAAATTATAGTACGAATCTACTAATCAAACGCTGATGATCGTCTAGAATTGTTTTACCCAATAGGTATGAATCATTATTCCATAATTATTTTATTATATAGCAATAATAAAATGCTGTAGCCGTGCCATCCCACTTGCATTGAAATTGTATTAAGTACATATTGGAAAGTAGAGATATTGATATTATTTATAGGAACATCAAATCAAACCATGCAAAGCATAACGGGATTGGGATAGGTGCTAGATAGGAATTACAACACACATTAATAATAAATAATAATAAAAAAATAAAACACTCAACAACATCTTGGCTAGGTGCCCATCGCTTGCTCTACCGATTTCCCTCTCTTGGCTCAACTTTTACGTCTTCAGATACTCTAGCATAAGAGATATATAAAAGCTCTATTCATTTCACCGATTTAAATTTAAAATTTAAGTTTTGTTATAGTAAAAATTTATTATAAACAGTTATATTTAATTTTTTTATCACAGTAAAAAATTCTCACATAAAATTATATTTTAACTCAAATTAAAAATTTAAATCAGCGAACTAAATAGGTTCATAAAGTTTTCAACTCAAATTTTCATTTCAACTTTTTATTTTTTTATTTTTTTGGACGGGAACGTAATCTTCATTGCACTATAACATAATATAATGTTCGGCCATAATTATGTCCACATGGCCACTACTAACTGGGCAAATACACAGATTTTTCAACTTTTAGTTGAGCATGATAATTAATTCAGCTTAATTCAAAAAAAAAAAAAAAAAAACAGAGAGAAGCAATTTCACCTTGTTGTGGATGATATATATATTAAAAAAGATAATATAACAATAAAAACGTGCTATATTCACTAAAAAGGGACAAGCGAGTTCGGTATTCGAATCTACTGCTTGTTTTTATTTAGCAAAAATTCAAAGTAAATGTGGGCCACACCTGAAAATATTAGGGATCATATTAGGGCAATTTTTAAAAATATATCATGAAATAAAATTATTTTTATTTTTATTTTTATTTTTATTTTTACTTCTTAATATTAACTCATATATTTTTATTTTTTAAATTAAAATTAATTAAGAAATACATTTTTTTAAAAATTATAGTTTTAATAAATCATATACTTATTAAATAAATATTATCGATGTGTCTCTGGACGATTTATTAAAAGCTAGTGTGTTTGCCGAGTTATACAACGAAGAGAGAAAGAAGAATATACCAAATTAAATAAATATTTATAAATGAAAAAAAATCTCGATGATTTTTAGGTCAACAACTCTGTCCAGATCCAATTAATACGCACTATCCATATATATTAAGGGACTGTTTAGTTCGCTAATTTGAGTTTTTAATTTGAGTTGAGATGTGACTTTATGTGAGAGCTTTTTACTGTAGTAAAAAAGTTAGATGTAATTATTTCTGAGAACTTTTTACTGTAGCAAAATTTAAATTCTAAACTTGAATCGGTGAAATGAACGGGCCTTTCTACTACATCTTCTTTCTTTATAAGAATATTACAAATATTATATATCCCACGTGTATGACTAGGAGAATGGAACTTGTCAACTTGACTTAAAAAAATATATTATTTTTTAGAATGACCTAAAAAATATTTCTACTTGACTTAAAAACGTGCTATATTGACTAATAACGGACAAGCGGGTTCGGTATTCGAATCTACTGCTTGTTTTTATTTAGCAAAATTTCAAAGTAAATGCGGGCCACACCTGAAAATACTTGGGATCATATTAGGGCAATTTTTAAAAATATATCATGAAATGAAATTCTCTTTATTTATATTTCTTAGCATTAATTCATATATTTTTACGTTTTAAATTAAAATTAATTAAGAAATAAATTTTTTTAAAAAAATGATACTTTTAATCAATCAGATAGTGAAAGTATAATCTGTAATTTTCTCATCATACTAAGAAGTTAAAAGAACTAATTATTGATAAGTCAATTCACAAGGTAAGATAAATTGTAGGAATATGCGTACATTACTTTTTGTTAATATATATATATATATATATATGGGTTTAGTTTTTAATAATTACTCTAATATTTATTTATTGGCAGATCTTACTGTTTTAATGTTATATTGAATATTGATTAGACAGTTGTGATGAATTAAATAGTTGACAAAAAAGATTATGATAATTAATGATATTGAATTCGAAAAACTTATTAAATACAAATTTGGATGAATATCTTGTTATTTACCTGATGGCATGGCATTTTAATTTTTTATTTAAATAAATTGTAAATTAAAAATTCAATTTTTATTCTAGAATCCTATTCTTGAGTCTTTACTATTCCGGATTCATTTTTTTCAATTTCAATTAGATATATAAGATGTAAAAATTTAGGGTCCACTTTTCAAATGAATAATACTAGGGACTTTAATTTTAATCCCAGTTTTTTTTTTTATACCAATTTACATGGTATGTTGTCATTCTTTTTATTAGCAGTTGTTTAAAAAATTATCATTCAATTAAAAATAAATAACTACATCTATTAGTGAAAAGATTACAACTCTATATCACATAAATTAGTACATAATAATTGAAATTAGAGTTGGTATATCTAACACTACTCTTTTTGAACATAGTAAGATTAGTTCAAGTATCAATTATACTCATGAATTCGTTAAAATTAATATGTATCTTAACAGTGAAAAGACAAAATAAAAATAACAATGCCGAGTGACACTTGTAGTGCTGAACATTACAAACCAAAAAAAAAAAAAAAAGTGAATCCTTTAGCATTAAGTCTATATAAAGTCCTTCTATTTATTGTATTGCTTCGCACCAAGGGTTCTTCTTAGCATT